TGTTAAATGTGCCAATTGTGAATATACTGGATATTTGATTAAAGATGGACACGGGCTGTCAGAGTGAATAGGGTACCTATATCTCAGAAACTATGCGTCGCTGGAAATTATTTTCAAGTTTCTAACTTCGACAATAGGGGGGGTTTAATACTACTTGTGACTAATAAATAACGGATAGAGTAAAGTTTCGCACGTATTAGGATTATAATATTTTCAACATAACTTATTTAGACATTTAAACAAGTTTTTTATAATTGGCTATAGGGATTAAGTCTTCCAGGAACGTGACATTTTCCAGCGACATCTCTTGATTACTTATGAAATATTTTTGACGTATCTACTTATATTTTCTGAAATACAGTCAATGATTTTCTTTAATAAAACACATATTTAATAAAAAATGAAGGTAGGCATTTTTATGGATTAAATTCAATATTGAAATGTATAATATATGAATATAATTTTTCACTTTTGAATAGCCAAGCTATTCGGAATAAATGAGATGAGATGAATGTTTAGTTAAATGTCACAACGTTTGATATGTACTTTATAAAAATAGATATTTAACCTTACATTTAAAGGTAGGTCAACAAAAAACCTTCGATTTTTTAGGTTAGAAATTGTATAAGAAATTAATTCCAGATTTTCACCCAAGATGAACAAAGGACGAAATATGTTCCGGTTATAACAGTGTTCGCCAGAGGTCGTAGTGCGTATGACATATTGCCAAAAGTCTGCTAATATTTTTTGAGAAATCTATTGGTATTTTACAAAATCTGAACCAACCGCGGGTTTTGTTTTGTTTTGTTTTAACTTTAACATTAAATATATTTTTTAAATAGTACTTCTGGGTAATTCTGAAGTACATATTTGTATTCTGTTGTTACTTAATAAGTTAAAATCTTAATATAAATCACATTGTTGATTTATCAGAAAATTTAATTACACATTATTGGTGACCGTAAACTCAATCTTTCTATACTCAATAGTAGAGGTGGGAAAAATAATCGATTTAAATCCATAATCGATTATTTTCGACTAATCGATTATTTTCGATTAATCGATTATTTTCAATTAATAGAATATTTTCTATTAATCGATTATTCTATTATTTTCGATTAATCGATTATTCTAGATAATTCAATTATTTTCGATTTTGCAAAGATAATTTGTATATTCGATTTAGATTAATTGATTAACTAAAATAATCTAATGAACGTTTAATCGAATAATCCACTTTAAAGAAAATACAAACAAAAATATTTCTTTTAATCTAATGAAAAGCGTGTTGTGGGCCACAAGTTTTTGTTATATTTTTTTTTTGAGAAGCAATTTATGCACGAAACACCCAATTACACTAGCTCGCTTTTAGAATAAAATAATTATAGTGTAAAACGTTAAAACATATTTTATTAGCCTTTTTTAAATGTTTTATTTATTTGGTAACAAACCTGAATTGATTCAGAACTACTAATTCATACTTTAAGCGCATGTCTGATTCATTATCAATTCTAAATTGTTACCGCAAACGCTACCTCTATTATATTTCTGATTAATCGGTTATTTTCGGTTGATCGATTATTTTCGATTAAATCGATTCATCGATGATTCCGGTTAATTGAATATCTCGATTAATCGAAAATTCGATTTTTTTCAATAATTGATTATTTATTTTCATAATCGTCCTATAGTCTGATGTCTGGTGTTCAAAGGTGCCACTTTCGTAACATGAGTGCGGTAGAAGGTTTCTCAACGGAATTATATGTTTTTGGGGTGCTGACCACGAATCTAAAGTTTGTTGCCTCGTAGCAGTGCCGCTTCAGATCGAAAAACGCAAAAATCATCGAAATTTTCGGAGTTTTTCTGGTTTTTCGCTCATATAATGGAAACGATGCATCGTACGGAAAATGTCATTCTACTCAAAGTTGAAGAACATAAAATTCTGCGTCCAAAAACCTCCCTAACTTTTAAATTAAACTGATTTATAAGGTCTCCATCATCAGTCGAAAAAAGCCAATTAATAGCAACTTTTGTGAAAACTGCAAGAAACTCACTTTTAGACGTCTGTGATGTGAAAACAGCTACTCTACGTGAAAAACTCGTAGAACAAAAGTTGTAAAGCATCAAATTTTGCGTTGAGTGATCATCGAAATTTTAAATTTGGATCAGTATATACTGATAACTTCTTAATTTTCCTATCGCAAACTTTTGGCCAGCAATACAGCATATGTGATTGATGGGGGTTGGTTATTACACAGAGTTGTGTTGTCGAGTGGGCATACGTTCGACAATATTTGCGATTCTTATTTAAATTACGTGAAAAACAAATACAGTTCAACAGCAGTGATCATGTTGATGGTTCAGGAGATCAACCAAGAAACACTCAGTAGAAATACAATTCAGCCACACAATGATACCGACGATGTCTCAAGAAAAGTTTCTGTGTAATGCCAAAAACAAAAGTCACTTATTTACCATGCTAATGGCAAAGTGTGAAGAAGCTGGAATTGCCTGCAGACAAAGTAAACGAAGATGCGAATTCACTGATTATTCGGACGGTTGAATCCTTGGCCCTAGCTCATCAAACTGTTGCGATTGTGGGGAAAGATGTAGATCTGCTAGTGATAATGATGGGTCCCAACACTTCTCCAAACGTCTATCTGCTAAAGCCAGGGAAAGGGAAAGCGCCTCAGTTGCTGTACCAACCAGTCTACAGTGAAACAAAATCCTGCCAAGCACATGATGTTTCTGCACGAGATTAGTGGATGCGACTCGATGTCATCTTTATATAACCAAGGCAAGACTAAATTTTTGAAGAATCTCTTTATATATCCAGACCTTGAAGAGACTGTTAGGAAATTTTTGGATCCGTCAGTCCAGTCAACGGCAATTGCTGCTGTTGGAGAAAAATGTTTGGTGGCCCTGTACGGGGCTAACCATCTAACAACTTCCTTGAATAAGCTACGATACAAGCAGTACGTGACATCTGCCTTTCATGTTTTCCAGCAACATTGCATCTATCCCTTCCACCGATGCTGCAGCCTACCAGCATAGCGTGTATATTTACAAGTGCAGCGATGGCTCGGCAACAGCTTGGATCCGAAGCTGTGGGGTTGGAAATCAACCAAAAATGGTCTGATCCTGCTTACCACCCTGAAACCCGCGGCTCCTGACAAACAAACATCAAATATAATGTAAATGCCGCACTGACTGTGGTGGGCGTTGTAAATGCAGGCGCGCACCCAAGTCTGCATCAACTGTGCCGATTCCTGCACCAACGTGGACGAAAGAACCGACCTCGATGAGCAAGAAGACGACCCTTTGTTTGCTGGACCACTGTCACAGGCAGATGAGACTTGAGAAAGTAATTTATGCGTTACTTTACAACACACACACTCAATGACATTGCTTTCAGTTGAAGAACCGCCATCCCAGTGCTGAAGAGCCTGAGCCAGGACCATCATCGTCCATTGAAAACCCTACGCTTGGACCTTCCACAATCTTGTAAAAGGGTAGGTACTTATTACTTCTTATTACATCAACATAATACTTATAAATCCTCAAGTCAGACTTGCAATAAAAGGAGGGGGAAGAAATTTAGGGTTGGGAAGGGAGTTTGAGGGAGAGGAAGGCGTTGGTACTACAACTTAGGGTTGAGAGGATGGGTTTGAGAGCTGGGGGTTCATATTGACAGCGCAGAGTTGTTATTATTGAACCCCTGCATAGTGGTCAAATAAGCGTTTAGAGGGAAAATGGAGAAATGATCAGTACATGCGTATATACTGATCCAAATTTAAAATTTCGGTGCTCATTGAACGCAAAATTTGATGCTTTACAACTTTTTTCTACGAGTTTTTCACGTAGAGTGGCTGTTTTCACATCGCAGATCTTTAAAAATGAGTTTCTTGCAGTTTTCTTAAAAGTTGGTAAAAATTGGCTTTTTTTCGACTGACGATAGCGACCTTATAAATCGGTCCAATTTGAAAGATAGGGAGGTTTTTCGACACAAAATTTTATGCTATTTAACTTTGAATAAAACGACATTTGCTTTACGATGCATCGTTTCCATGATATGAGCGGAAAACCAGAAAAACTCCGAAAATTTCGAGGATTTTTGCTTTTTTCGACCTGAAGCAGCACTGCTACGAGGCAGCAAAATTCAGATTCGTATTCAACGCCCTAAAAAACATATCCTACCGTTTTCAAGTTACCGAAAAACTACCATTTAATTTTAAATTTGAGTAATAGCCTGATTATGTTATTTTAATTTTTTATATAAAGACAATAATCGGATATAGATTGAAAAATCAATATTTATAGTTAATAACTGATACAATTACTGTTTTTTTTTTATTTCTTTTTTTAATTAATGTGTAATACGTAGAATTTTGATATAAGTTTTATTTATATTAAAATACTACATTATTTTATAAGAATTATAAAATTTCCCGATAAATTAACATTGTTCGTGACATTGTTTATATTACTTATCTGTTCTGATAATAGTGATGCGTTTTCAGTTTCCTACTAAATTTATAATAGTACAAAATAAATGCAATTCTAAACTTTTAAATGGCTTTCAAATTAATTAGTTATTCTAAGTATTTATAAGTATTCATTAACAAATAAATAAAATATAAAACAAAATTCAATGTTATCTTTTTTCCTAAAATCAAATCACTTTGTGTTTTAAAGTCATAGATAGCTATTTCATTCTATTTTTATTTATAATGATGCTTAAATATGTTTATAATGAATACTTTTGATACTTTCATAGAGACATTTTAATCAAATCCAAAAACGAGGTTTTTTCTTAATACAAATTTATTTTAGGCAAATATGACTGAAGGTCTACTAAAGTATCACGCATACAATTTTTAGCAATCGCACCTTCTTCTTTGCTAGATTTTAACAATAATTAGGTACTACTTGCTTCTTATTATTTCTTTTCAGTACTTTTGACTACCTAAACAATTTTTATTTTTTCCAATCACAGCTTGTTACTCTACTGGTTCCAAGGACCTTCTACAGGATTCACAACAGTGGGTTACATAGTAAGGATAATGACAGAGTCTTGCTTGTACAGCTAACTTGCATTTGTGTATTTTGTCTACACAGTATCCTAAAAAAAGTTACAATAATTAAAATGTATTCTCTCTACGGTCTATTGAATAAAATACAGTAATACTTTATTAGGATATGTCCGATGGGAAGAGCCAGAAAAAAAACAGCAATTTTTCCAAAAAGATAGGATTAAACATAGAGTGAAAATTTAAATGGATATAAAATGATAAGTATCCGTGAAATTTGCTCGTGGGCTGAAACAAAGCCAGATAATAGGAACTTTATTGAAGAGGAAAGAGTTTTAACATGTGGCAAAATTGAAACGATGGTATGTTCGTGCAAAGCTGGTTTAGTGGAGAAGTGCAAACATATTATTGCTACTCTAATGTTCTGCAATTAGGCATTCCAAACAAATGAATTACCAGTGGGCAGGTTTGGTATATCTAAGGGTGGCGACATATGGTGTATTCTATCTACTTTACGTAAAATCATGAATAATGGATTACATTTAAATATTTTATGTCAAACACAATAAAAATAATATTTAAAAAACCCACCTATACATTTCTTCATAAATTGGCAGGCTTGGCGAGTACTACTTCGAATAAAAATAGCGTCCAAGTTGCAAGACTATGTCGCTACCCCCTTAAATATACAAGAATTTCCCACTGGCACCTATTGTTTGACAGGTCGTTGGAATGCCTAATAGGTAGGTTTCTAACCTCACTTTTACGCCAATAGTGTCAAAATTCCATAATTCTGTTATTGAATTTATAAATATTTTATTTTAAAAAAATTATTTCAGACGTAATATATAGGGTGTAACTAAATAAGTGTAAAACATTTAAGGTGCTGATTCCTCATCGAAAAAAAGATAGGATCTTTCATATAAAGAAATTTCATTGGAGCATCCCTTGTTAAGATACAGCCTTTTAAAGGGGGTACACAAAATTTGTTTAACAATTTTTTTCACAAGCACTAAACAAGTTACAATATTGAAATTAACCTGACATTTTCTACTACCAAAAATACACTTAGCCAGTAATTTATTTGGTTTACCCCATGGTTGTAAGGGATGGAAAACGCAATCCCTAAAATTTCGTTCCAACGTAACTTTTTGTCTTATTATTTGTTTATCATTTAAAATTAATTTCCGATAGCCTGTTTCATTCTAAACAAAAAATGTCTCTTGAATTTTTAGCCAAAAATAAACCAGTTCGCAGCAAAAAATTATTTTACGAACAAGATAGATATCGCCATAAAACGAAAATACGAAACTAATTTATCTAGTAGGCCGCTATTAGCGATACATTGAAATCAAGCTGTCAGTTTGTAAATTTTTGAAATTGAAGTAATACTAATTGTGCATTGTTGTTCTGTTCGTAATTTGTTACTTTAATAATTCAACTGTTATTAAAATGGCATACACAAATGAGGAAATGGTTGATATGCATTAAGTTTACGGTCTGTCGCAGGGGAACATAGAATATTTGCCCGACTTCATCAACGATTACGAGAATATGGTTCATTCAACAAAAGAACGCACGATTGTGGTCGCCATCGAGAAGTAAGAACACCACAGCTTGAGGAAGCACTACTTAATTTTATTGAAGAACAACCTACTACCAGTACTAGAAAGATTACTTTCCAGCTAAATGTTGATCATATGACGGTATTTCGAATTTTAAAGGAACATCTCTTATACCCTTACCATCTGCAACGAGTACAGGCACTGTTACCGCGAGACTTTCCGAACCGTCTTGAATTTAGCAATTGGATGCTGGAAATGATTAGAAGAAATCGTGACTTTCTGAAGACGATCGAATTCACAGACGAATGTAGTTTTTCTCGGGACAAGATTATTAATTTTCATAATTACCACATATGGGCTGATGAAAACCCTCACGCTATTGTCGAAACTCACCATCAAGAACACTTTTCTCTTAACGTGTGGGCCGGAGTTATTGGTGATTATTTAATTGGGCCTCATTTTTTACCTCCTCGATAAAATGGTTCAATTTTTAAGAGAAGTGCATCCCGTACTGCTGGAGGAAGTTCCTTTGAGTGTCAGAAGGGATATGTTTTTTATGCATGATGGGGCTCCCGCCCATTTTAGTCAAGTAGCACGTCAGCATTTAACTGAAACATATGCAAATCAGTGGATAGGTCGAGGAGGACCACATAATTGGCCCGCTCGATCTCCGGATCTCAATCCTCTCGATTTCTCTACTTGGGGCCATTTGGTTTATCGTACTCCTGTTCGCGATGTAGAGGACTTAAGAAACCGCATCATCGATGCGTGCAGGGTAATTAGAGAGACTCCAGGATTATTTGAGCGAATACGTGGCTCAATGTGCCGACGTCTAGACGCATGCGTAACGTCTGAAGGTTGACATATTGAACATTTACTATGATTTCTACATGTTGTATGTTTTGTTATTAATAAATTAGTTTTGATTATTCCTCTTTTTAATAATTTAATGCAGGTAGTAACTACAAAATAACAATAAATTCAGTTCGCATTTATGACGATGTATCTCTGTAGTTGTTCGTAAAATAATTTTTTGCTGCGAACTGGTTTATTTTGGGCAAAAAATTCAGGAGACAATTTTTGTTTAGAATTAAACAGACTATCGGAAATAAAATTTTAAATGGTAAACAAATAATAAGACAAAAAGTTACGTTGGAACGAAATTTTAGGGGTTGTATTTTCCACCCCTTACAACCATGGGGTAAACCAAATAAATTACTGGCTAAGTGTCTTTTTGGTAGTAGAAAATGTCAGGTTAATTTCAATATTGTAACTTGTTAAGTGCTTGTGAAAAAAATTGTTAAACAAATTTTATGTACAAGGGGCTGTATCTTAACAAGGGATGCTCCAATGAAGCTTCTTTATATGAAAGATCCTATCTTTTCTTCGATGAGGAATCACCCCCTTAAATGTTTTACACTCATTTAGTTACACACCCTGTATACGAAATAGAAGAGCTTTTGTACACTATGGAAAATCCTCCATAAGGCAACGCTTCTAACTTACACGAATTGTACACCACTACTGGAGCACGAATGTTTCATCAAGCCTAGCATGAAAAAATGTAAGTGCAACTTTCCAAAGTGAAAATAGTGAAAGCTTAACCTTATACCTTATATATAACCTTATGTGAGCGGCTGTTGCATCCAGGGACCGAGCAAATCAGTCTGGCCCTTCGTTTAACACAGCAACTTTTTTTTATCGTCCATTTTTCACTTTTATTCGCAAAATTCACAGTAATTATGCACGTTGACACTGATGTATACGTAAACGCAATATATTCTTAATAAAGTGATACCTAAAATTAGTTTAATTTTTTACCACCAGACGTCGTACCGTCATCGGACACATCCCAATGAGTAACTACTTTTAAATAAGGTAAATCTTTTTAATGCTTCAACTTTCTAGACTATTAGTACTTAGTATATTGACTTTAGGATTAGGCATTCCAAACAAAATGGCTACCAGTGCGTTTTGACAGGATATTGTATGGCAAAATTATGGCAACCCTGTAAGCCTAGTGATTTAAAAAGGTCAATGAAATAGATAGTTACATAGATTGATCATCCATATTTTTCAAAATAAACATAAGCTTATGCCTTGAAGTAAAAATGTAGATAATTATTTTTTTACTCTATTCAAAGGCTTAAAATTGGTTTTAAAACATATTTTTGCTAAACCGATTCAAATTAATAAACACTTGCCAGGCAATATGGCCGCTCGCAAACGACCCGCTTTGAGCAATCTATATAACTATATATGTATCATTGACCCTGTCAATGACAATTGGTCCACAGGGTTGCCATATCTAAACTGTCAGTTCCCACTTGTCAGCATTTTGACAAGTCGTTGGAATGCCTAATTATTTTTGGCGCATGAAATTACATTATTCTACATAAAGTATACTTACTGTCAGCTGGTTCATCTTGGACAGGCTTGTATCTTCGTTTGCTGTCCGCCTCACATGGACACGTCCTTTTTCCTGCTGGGGTATCATTTTCAGGACATCCTCCAACAACTTCTCGCCCATACTGGTCCAAACATTTGATCTCTCGTCTTTGAATGCTACTGGGACAAGTACCCTCGCATTGTCTCCAATCACCAATGAACCAACGCGGTGGACAAATACCTTCGCAAGGTTGTTCTTCTATTGGTTTGAGGTGGCCGGGACAAGTGATGTCATTGGCCACGTGAGCCATTCCACGAATTTTAATGAGGCAGTATACCTCACGTTTTTGCTTGCCTGGACCGGAACATGTATCTGAACACGAACTCCATGGTCCTATTATAAGAAAATACAAAAGTTTAAAAAAATTATAGACCAACGACGAACATATACTAGACTAATTTTGATTATAAAAAGCGAATTGTAAGTATTCACGGTGTTTTCAAATTATTATAAGAGAAAATGGAAGAGTTTTGTAATAAGGACTGTTTACCTGAGGTTATAAATGGGAATTAACTTAAAATTATATTAAGGAAGTATATTTGCATTCTTTCTGTCAGTTATTATCAGTTTAATGTATTTTTCTGGTTGCAACTATCATAGTTAAAGGTGATTTCCAGGAAAGTATGCAATTTATTTGGAAGAGTGACAGAAATGCAAAGCAAATCGTCGTAGTACTGATTCATTCAAGCTCGCACCTCAGATACACAAGCTCGCACAGACCATTCCCACTCAATTTAACAGCCATCTCACTTTTTTTAAACAACAGCTGCTGCTACAGCCCTCTGTCTGCCTGATATAAAACAATCTAAATGTTTGTAATGGATAAGGAGGGTTTGATTATGCATGAATGAATAATAGTCTAGTAATTTTTGATCGTTATTATAGGCTGTTGTAGACAGTTGTAAGACTTTAGATAATTATTAAAATATTGATTAACATTTATCCAAACGAACCCAAGGGATGGCTGTAGAATTTTTTTAACTTTGCAGATGTAGGTAGTAAGAAAACAAAAAAAGAAACGAAAATAACTTGCTGTAAAACATCATTAAATCAGGAAGTTACTTGTTTGTAATTAGAAGCATAAATCTTTAAATTTTGAATAATATTTTCCAGTTCCAGTAGCAGAAATATTCTTGTTACTATTACTCAGATCAGCTATTTATGCAACAGTATCGAGAAAGCCGAGTTGTAGCGTACTACTAATTAGGCAACCAACTCTACGTTATGGAATTGTGCGATGTATAAAAAAATTGTGCAGCATTTGCCACGTTTGAAAATCCATATCCGATGCATTTTTTTCATCTCGAGCGTTTGTTTATCCACATCGGACACATCTACTTATGAAGACGAGATAGTCTTCATACATCTACTACATCTACATCTGCGTTTGTTTATACCAGATGTAGCAGTACAGATTACATTTTTTACATCTCGATTTGAAATGATATGTCAATGAGATGTTAGTTCCATGCCAGAAAGTAGGTGTTCCGTGAAGCCAAGATTATTGATTTATCCTTTATTTAAGCTAGCGTGAATATAAAAGTGATTAGTGTGTTTAATTTTTGTTTAGAAATATAAATTTAGGTTGTTTTCCAGTCTCAAAAATCAAATTTAAAGAATATAAACTTGTCATTTTATCACATGACTAATAAAATCTAGAGCGTTTGTTTATTACATCTACATTCAGATCTAATTCACTATCACGTGATAAAAAATTCACAATATCTCAGATGCATCCTATGTGGATATTCGCGGCAATTGTGCACCTACGACTGACAGATGGTAAAAGTGATAGTTGACAGCAATAATTTAAAATAGCTTTGACGCATGCGACACCTTTTGTCTAATTCGCGATTTATTTCTTGAGATGTATTTCGTTTCATTGGTTTAAATCGACTATTGTTATTAGTAGACCATTTTTAAGTAATTTTATTCGAATAAAGAGAAGGAAAAACGGATATGATTGGTATTTTTGGCTTATAGTGTACTTTTTTGTGCAGTTTATTGAAAATGTGTAGCAAAACAATGAAATTGGTGATTGTGGTGCACCTGTGCATTTTCTCGATGAAATGTGTAGCATTCTACACAATTGTGTAGCCTGTAACAACCCTGTGAACTATATTAAACTGGAAGTCCAAAGGCGATCAACAAAATCGAGCCACATAGCGAGGTGATATTTGACAGGCTAGTGCACTAAAAGGTAACACCAAAATTAAATTTAACACCTATTACATTTAACTACAACACCTTTTAATTTAAGAAAATCACTTAAAAATTATCTTTAATTAATACGCAGCTAAAACAAATGTTCCAATATCAATGATAATTAAAATACCCCGATATTAATAAAAAATTATATAACTTATCGTAGTACGCCCGTGGAAAACGTGACATACATGCTTGAAATTGACAGTCTGACGTCTAAATTGTCATGCGCACTGACCGTTTTTTTCACCCATATCGGCTTAGAAATTAGGAGTACGGCTTATGACATATTCGCTCCGTGCGAAGTCATTGAAAGGGAAGCAAAAGCGATACTAGCGCTAGCTGCGGATAATTCGTGCATTTTAGGGCGATATTTTGTAATGTTGGCATATCAAATACACGTATACATTTTACTTTTTTTCAAAAAAAGTAGGTAAAAACAATACAATAAGCAATCGGAGTTGCTGTGTTGAAAATTGAACAAATACTAGCAAAAAAAACAGTGAAACTTATATAAAAAATTTCAGTAGCAAAAAGGAAATTAAATCAAAGAAATAAATGGAAAGATATACAATAAGAAGAAAAATTACCTTTATTTTTGTAATAATAACCGTAATGCTACAAATAGTAGACATCAGAAACTTGAAAGGTTTTAAATCAACAATATATTATCATTTTACCCCATGTTCTTTAATATCCCTTATTCTTAAATGTTCATTCAGCAAGGACTAGATTTCAACATTTCTGCCTTTGATTATTATATGTGGTTGGAACGCAATTTTGTAACTTACTGATGGGAAATCAGTTTTAATCATTCATTCTATGTTTTCTTTCGAACAAAAATGAAAATATAAGAATGATCCTTTTTTTATACATTTTAACTTCACGCTATTATTAAATGGTATTTTTTTATTTTGACAGATTAGAGTAATTCTTCAATGAAAACTTATTAGACTTAGGCAACTTCTCATACATTTTCCAGTAAATACTGTTGCCTGCCTATATTTTATTATTGATTTTTATCGATTATACATAATTTTCTTTAATTTAAGCGATAAAATATATAATAATAATTAATTAATGTTATACTTGTTTTACAAATCTATATACTTTTATTAAAACTACCATATATACTTTTTAATTACGAATTCTATCAAAAGTTGCATTTGTCAGTGTACGCAGAAATAGTCCATTAGTATCAAAACGAATTGGCGCTGCTGTCGCGCACGGAGCGAATAGCCATCTAGTTTAATATGAAGATCGGTGGCAGTTTTTTTTTATATTATTCGTATAAATACTGTTTGTGTCTAGTGTTATTTAATAAATGGTTTTCCTATTTTAAGGCGTTCATTTTATTTAGTCAATGACATAACCCCACCATTTAAAAAGTGTTATAACTAGGTACTAATAAAGATAAAACATGTATATGATCAAAATATTCCTAAATCCAGCTTACTTCGTACCTTCCCTTTTAATTTTGGGAGTGGGCGATATTAAAAATAGGAAGGAATGGTTTTTGATTTATATCTGGGATTCTGGTTACCGGTTGAAAAAGCGCCACCCTTTGTGACATACTAGAGTTGCTCCAATCTTAGAAAAAACTACAACAATTGCAGATTTAACAACTGCAGTTATAACCCATACAGCAGACATTATTTCAGAAGTGTTTCAGACATATTTCAAACGTTTCAAACATATAATATTTCCAGCACAAGTTTCTGAAATATTTTAGTAAACAATTCACTGAAAATGTTTTTGAAACATGTTACAAATGTTACACAAAAGGTTACAAAACAGGTTATGTTGTAATGTTAATGTAATGTTATGTTTTTGGCATTTGCTTTTTTTTGTTTGGGTGTTGTGCTGTATCTGTATCTCATTCAGTGTGACGAGTGACGCCATTTCGTTTATCAAATTTGCAGGCAGTTTTAAGAGTAATTATTATCTAAATATAACCTACATTTGTTATCCCTCCCCTAGTTTTATTTAATAGTTCTACAGCTCTGATTGAGAAGCACCTAAGATGAGCTTTCTCATCATGTTTTATTTAGACATGAGTATTTTCTTTTATTATAGTTAATTTAAAGTAATATTTATTAAACTACTCTCAATAAAATAATTTGTTTCAAATTCTTCTTTAAGTACCTATAATTTGTTTCAGGCTAGTGCATTTAAAGAAATTGGCGGAAATGAAGCGATTCGCCTTTATATTTTGTGAAATATATAAAATTTATTTATTTGTTAGTTTAAGAATCAATGTTTTTATTTGGTTTATTTTAAATAAACATGTATATTACTAGGTAATATTTCTAAAAGATGTCAAATATTTATTTCAGAAATTACTGTGAAATATTATATTTACAGGCAATTTTTACATTTCAGGCACATGCTAGAAATGTTTCTGGAACGTTTCTTTATATTTATACAACATTTAAAATATTTAAATGTAACATTTTTGAAATATTTCCAAAATGTTTTTGTGCAGTATGGGAAGTGAAGGGACAACAAGTAACCATCAATCAAAGCATAAGGTAATCGAAAACAAAAAGAAGAAAAATGAAGCAACCCAGGCAGCACACATTAGTATAACTAACGTATTTTATACGTAATACTCGTTTAATTTTGGTATTGGTTGATTCCGTATACGTTTACAGTTTACGATTATTATACATACCGTGTTTTAAACGATATATTATACGTTTTTTATATACATCCTATGGTATATAATTGTAAATTTGTCTACGTTTAAATTTAGTTAACAATATACGACTATTTTTAGTTTGCGATGAACTATTTATATACAGTGGGCCTAAATATACGTTTAGGTTTATTTAAATTAAATTCGTATAAATTTACATTATTATACAATATGTTTTCTTCGTTTATAATTCCCGTTTAAATTTCGTCTTGGTTGATTTTTTAAACGTTTACCATCTACCATTTTTATACTTAACGTTTTTTAACAGATAAATTAAACGCTTTTGTTTGTCGATACTAGTTAATATACCTATATTATTCTACGTTTAAATATAAGTCACCTTAAACGCATAATACCAGTTTACGATGAACTAGTAGACAGAAGTAAATAATATGTATATATTTAGGTTTATTTAAATTAAAAGCTTATAGATATATTTATTTACATTACATCCACATTTTTTTAATTATATTACCTGTAATATTTATAACAAATTCCCCATACACATGGAACTATTTTTAGATGGCGGATGGAGGACGACGTACTAGTGGTACGGTCTTTTCTCATTTCTACTCATGCGTATGTGTAGTATTATTGTTCAGTGTAGGGAATGGTTTGTGGGAGCAGGTTCATCGGTTCGTCCATTTTAATTTGTGTACACGTTTTGTTGCATGTTTCTTCGGCGTCCTGGCTTTTACAATATTGATTAAAAGCATAGGTAAGTTTCTATTAATGTTTTAATTTAGCTACTCCTTTAATAATTGTTGCATTTTACAACAACTACTGTTTTATAGGCACGTACAGTATGTTAAATGATTATAGAAACTTCAAAACATAACCTTACTTTTGTTTCTTTTATTTTTTTACGTATTTTTTAGGTTACCTAGTTATTTCAAGCATACTTATTATACTTATTTTCCTTTTTTTTGGTCAGTTGTTTTTTATTTAATAAAATGTCTAAAATAACTCTGTCACTGCGTCATCTACGTAGAAAAATAGCGCAAAATGTTCAAGATGCTTTAAAGTCAAATCAATTTTTTTTTATTCCCAGTGAAGATAACATTAATAAGGCTTCGGACATTAATATATCATCTAATTCTATTGTTTATAATAATTTCCAAGAAAATAATACGAATTTAATTTCGGAGCTGTTAGAAAATATTTCACCTGAAATTAAGTTAGATTTTCGTTATAGGAATGGGGGTGGACCAAGCGACCGAACGATTAGGTGTGCCATGCAAGATTAGCTTAAGTTAGCTAAGGCCCGTCCAAAGTGTTAAGCTAAGATTTTTATTTTCATTTATATTTTTTGTTAGTTAAAGAAAAGTCTCGTTTAGTTTGTTATTCAGTATTTTAGTGTTTATTTTTTTGTATTTATTTATTTTTTAGTATTTTATTGTTTATTTTTTTTATAATTAAATATTGTTGTGTACATATAACAAGTGATCAAAAAAAATTTATAAATATTTAGGTCAATTACAACCAAAATATAAATACGAGTAATGCCTATTTCTGGTGTATACACACACCTGCTATGGATAAAATCTAAACTATCATTTAGGAAATATTAACATTTTTCCATGGCCTCTTTAGAAATTTTTTTTTGATCACTTTATTTAATTTGTGTTTGAAATACATTTAAAACAATATCAGTTAGATGCATTTTACACATTAATAAAAATCATACAAATATATCTAATATAGACGTATAGTAAAACAGAATAATTAAAGGTAGATAAAGTAGTAATGTTAGACGTATAAAAAATAAAAAAAATATACGTTTATAGGACGGACATTTTCACGTATATATTGGGTAGCATATCAACAGTATCCATACGTATATTGTAGTACATAAAAAAACGTATTTTATACCAAAGTGAATTCGTATAAATATACTACAACTATAAATCCAATATAGACGTATAGTAAAAACGTTTAATTATAGAGGATAAATTCTTAGTAATCGACGTTAATAAGGCGGACATTATCATGAATATATTTGGTAGTACATCAACCGTATTCATACGTATGGTAGTACCTAAAAAAATACGTAATTTATACCAAAGTGTGCTGCCTGGGAAATTCACTGTAGCAAAAATAAAAAATATTTTACCGGAAAACCATTGTCCATCACACTGTTTATCGCTCGAACAAGCTCTGGAAAGTTCGGGCTTCGCATCCGTTGGACAACTGTCTTTGTCTGGAAGTGCGCATAATGTTGATCGAGTTTGTGTGCCGGTACCGCAAGCTTCTGAACACTGAGACCAATCAGTGGTTAACCAAGGAGAAATACTTCTAGAACTTGTTGAAGCGCCAGAATGGAAAGCTAATTCTTTCGGTGTGCAAGATTCCATATCACAATATTCCGCATGAGATGGTCTGTCATCTGGTCTACAACTTGCGGACGGACAAGTTACCGATCTTGTTCGGTGGCCTGTACCACATGATACTGAACACTGAAATAAAAAAAAATTCGTCATAATAATCAATCAACAAAATAACTTAATTATTTAAGGACAAATGTATTTTATTCTCCGTAAAAACGTAGATTTCTACGAATTAAACTATATTTTTGCAAAACGTAATTAACTGGTACTGAAAGGGATCGTATTTAATTCCGTCCCCGTTGAATGAAACCAAAGTCGTGGATGCGCTGGAATAGAAACAGGGAATCATCGCATAGGAACGGGAATTATTTATGGAATGTCAGATTTTGAACGTAGAAAAAATGGGAATGTCGCGATTGTTAAAAAAGGTGTAGGTTTTTGTTAGTTTTATTTGTGATAAAAATGTAAGTGTCTTTTTAAATCAATTATTATGTTTCAATTACTTTTATATTATTTAACTAGTTGATGGTTCACTATTTAGATTTGAATTTCACTGTTATAAGTAATTTCATGCTTTTTCTTGACAGCATTTTTTTGGTATCTGTCATAAAAAATTGCTTGCATTCCAATTACGAGTTTATTTGATTTTATGACTTATTTTACTATCTAAATCAGTGAAAAATAGCATCCTTTTAATATTTTAATTTAAATATTTTTGAAAATTTGCTATAATTTTTATTTGACATTGAGATTATTTTTTTGTCATTTTTAAAGTTAGGCAAGGGAAAAGTAATATTATATTAGTAAATTATGTGTTTTCCTAACATCAGATATTCACAGCATTGGCAGATCTAAGTTAAAAGTATAAAATGCCTTGTTGATTGATACTAAAATTTTCCGCCCGTGGCTGGGACAACATCGGGATAGGTGTCCCGGTAACTTACCTGATTTTGTCACCAGAATATTCAACTTTAGGTGGGTAGTAAAGCTGTAGAGTTTCCCCATTACCTTGTCCCAAATAAACCTTCTTCCGTTTTGCATCGAGTGTGTTTGAACCTAGTAATGCTCAATGTTTGTTATCTGATGAGTTATTGTTATTAAAATATTTATTTTATTTTTGCCTTGCAGCCTTAAATATTGTTTTTTTTTTTATACATAATGTATTGAATATTATTTCATATATTTTCCTGTGTATAACCTAAATTGAATATTATTTCATATATTTTTCTGTCTTTAACTAAAACATCAAGTAATTAAATGTATTTTTTATATATATACTTAATTTGTCATTTGTATCCAAATTGACGTTTGATTGGTTTTATTGTATTTATTATAACTTTGGGGTTTTCTTGCTGGTTCTTTCCCCTTATTTGATAAATTAATTATTGTTTTTTTTTATTGTACCGAACCAGACCTATATTTAATCTTTATAAATAAATATATTTTATACATTTTTACTTTCTGATTCTGTCATCTATATTATTTTCAATAAAGATTAGATATAAATCAATAGTTATTTTCTTTTAACCTATACCACTCCCTCAATAACACGTAAGTAGCCAATAGATAACGAATCTTTTAGTCTGTCACTCGTGGTGTCCTAATCACTTCATAGTCGATCACGCCGCCACTTTATTTATCATACTTTTATAAAAGAGAGAGATATTAGTCAAGTTGTCTCTCTTTATTTTAGTTGGTTACACTACAGTACCTAGTCTCTGAATATCAGCCCCTGACAAGTAAATACTCGACTACCAAATTTGTCATAAAATTTGTTAATACAAAATAAATCTCATAAAATTTTCGATAAAAAAAGTTGTAATTTTATCAGGAACAAACCTGGCATACAGAGAAATATATTTTATCGTTTATCGTTTTGTTTCCAAGTTAACACACCTTACACCACATATTCTCCTTTCCACTAGGCGAGCCTGAAGATGAAGTGATGACACTTCGAAACCGGTCGCACTCAATGTTTTGTTAAACAATTAAACATTGACTTTCCTTGTGAGATATAAAGGACTTTTTCTCACCCTTCACCTTAAAAATATATTTTATTATTCATTCAGTACTGTATCACCAAATTTAAAAATCTTTCACAAAATTGGAAGCCAGCCCTGGCCCATATAGCAACAGTAAATGCAATTTTACAGTTTTTTAAATTTGCACACCTGCATTTAATTTACAAGCATTTTAAGGAGGTCCTTTCGCCACCAATGTTAAATAAAAAATATTAGATTATGACTAAAATTAATTTTTTTCTAATAGTAGATGTCCTTATTTATCTAATAGTGAACTTTTAACTATACCTTACCGTGCAAATTTTTGAGAAATTTTGTTTTAAAAAATGTTTGTGTTTGTACAGTGTCTTATGAGAAAGTAAGACTTCAACAACAATTTTCGAATTATAATTAATTTTACTATTATTTATTGATTAGATGGAGTAGAAAAAAACTAAAAATAAAGTTTTTGAAATATTTAGGTTTTGTTTTTTACATTAAAATATATAGGTTACCGTGGAATTTATTGAGAAATTATTATTAAAAAATCACAAAAAATTTTCGACTAGGTTACTTGAAAATTTTTTGTGATTTTTTAATATTAATTTCTCAATAAGTTCCACGGTTTACTATATATATTTTATTGTATAAAACAAAATCTAAATATTTCAAAAACCTTATTTTTAGTTTTTTCTACTCCATCTAATCAATAAATAATAGTATAATTCGAGAATTGTTGTGGAGGACTTACTTTCTCGTGAGGCACTGTACAAATACTCACATTTTAAAAAAAAATTCTCAAAAATTTGCAAGGTAAGGTATAGTTAAAAATTCAGTATTAGATAAATAAGGACTTCAACTATTAGAAAAAAATTAATTTTAGTCATAATCTTTAACATTTGAGGCGAGAGGTGTGGCGAAAGGACCTCCTTAAGCGCCAAAGTAGAGTGCTCTCTCTTTCACGGAAAATTGCCAGTAATTAATTTGTTACACTCTCGCTAACATAAGAATAGTATGTAACATGTTATACATGTTATTTCTTTTATTTTTAAGTTAAATTTTAATATAGGTAGGTCATATCAATTTCTAATTAAATTAGATACACCAAGCGCCCTCTTCTTGCTGAAAATTAAATTCTGCAAATCCTTTGATAGGAATATGTAGTGTTATACATAGGTGACAGCTGTTCATAATTTATTTACATTATCACTGCTTTCATACATTAAATATTGTCTTGAAAAGATTCAAATCAATTATTCTTTACATGTTAAACTTAAATATAACACTTTTTTATTACTAATTTCTTTCGGATACAATAAATTATCGTTGCCTGACATTTTTATTGATAAGTCAAGATAAAATATTTCAATAGACCGATAAATGCATCCGCAGGTACAAGCGCAATATTTTCTTTATCTACAAAAATCACACAAAACCACCATTCGATGCTTCCTCGGTCAATCACGACGAGACACATTCACAATTGCAAGCACTCACACTTCTACTCGACAAGACAAAATGATGAGACCTCTTTTGAACCTACGACACATTCACATCTTTGCTTTCTTCCGTCGCAAGCTCGATGCTATTTACTAAAAACATAAATTTTGAGATGTATTAATCCTGCTGATTGATAATAAATCTTAAATTTACGTACTCGTATCATTTCACTATGTAAAATTATTGTAAGCTGAAGAAAAATCCTCAAAAAATAGATTCAAATCACGAATCCGAATCACGAAATGTGACTCGAATCATGGATCCTCTGTTCGGATCCTTTTTACAGAAAGAAGGATTTGAATCAAATGATTCGAATCCATTTTTTCGGATCATGTGTTAAGTATGCTTCCGATTCTAATAGTGTCTACTATCAACTATAATTGTGTCTATTACGGACTATGACGTGCATAAAAATGGTTGATTCAAGAAGAGGTTGAATAATATAAACTATTTTTTTCTATGAATAAATTAGAATTACAAAAAATATATTTAATTTTAATACAAAAAAACATAATGAAATAAAAATGTATTTTGGTTGGCCTTACATAGCATCAAAATTTTAAAGTTTTCATCTATCTTTCATGGTGCGTCGATTTATACTTGCAAACAAAAATAATTGTTCGACTGCACCAGACAAAGTAAGGTGTTAAATTTAAGGTTTATCTTTTAAATATTTACAATCGGTCTTCAGTCTCAGTCTGATTCAGTTTACACTTCGCGACATGTCAGGGTTACTAGGTTTTTGAAATAGATGACGGACAGACAGACGTGGGATTTTAGGGGAAATAGGGGGAAGTAAAAACAACTCTGCCTATTTTCATTTTTTTAATCAAAATTACTTATTTTGTAAAAAATCCGTACCTGGTAAAGATAGACTGAGGTGTTTTTAGAAATAATAAGGTGAAAATATTTCTGACTTTCGATTAGCGATTTCTCGATTTTATAACTTTACATTTTCACCTTATTATTTGTAAAAACACCTCAGTGTATCTTTACCAAAATTTGGTATGGATTTCTTGCAAAATAAGTAATTTTGATTAAAAGACTAAAAATAGACTGAGTTGTTTTTACTTCCCCCTATTTCCCCTAAAATCCCCAGTCTGTCCGTCATATCTTTCAAAAGCCTGGTAACCCTGCGACAAGTCAAAGCTTGACTCAAACGTTCGCGCCGGCGTAGTTTGGTATCTAAAAGGATCCGAGACTAATATTGGTGGTTCGAATACGAATCCTTTAGGATTTTCTCGGCGAATCCGGATAAAGGATCCTTTTTTTCTTAAGTATTTGAATACCGCTCTCGGATCCTCAGAAAGGATTCGAATCCTGGTATTCGAATCCTCCCCAGCTCTGCTTTAAATGTTATTGTTAAAATTAAATTAAAGTTACTACTTCATAAAAACAGACCGAATATATATTTTTATAAAACTTAATTACCTCGATCCTAGTCTCCTATATAAATTATTTAAGATATTATTACTGACAAGGAAATACGCGACTTTTAATTTTGTCATAAAAATGGTTCATACAAAATTAAACCTAATAAAATTCTCTATAAAAGACAGTTTTAATTTTACTAAAGCGAAGCTATAAATTGAAAGATGTTACGACGATATGAGATTTTATTTATTAACAATTCTTTATTACCAATGTAATGAAAATATGTACTCAGAGTGATGAACCTGTGTCTTTTATTATAAAAAGAGTGAAGATTTTTTTTTAATCTGCATGCTTCTTCCTCTTTGCATGACTTTCTGTATGTTCTCTTTCAGATACCTACGTAATAATCGTTAATGGATCCTCGAAAAACTTAAAATTTTATATTGTAAAATAGCACTACTTTAAAAATTTAAAAAACTATTCCATACATATGAAAATTGTAAACGATATTTTGGCAACAACGCTAATGATGGCAACTTATTGGCTACGGAATCAAAATTTCAATTTAAAATAGAATAGCTCCCATAATAGAAAAACAGAAATGAAATTAACTAGAAACTCATAAACAAATTAAATTAAAAATTATCAAAAGCAAAAAAAATTAAAAAAGGATTATTAACAATATTAAATGAGACTGAAAATTTCTCACACTTCCTTTATTTTATTCTAAATGAGAGCACTACAATAGAAAAACCTGTAGAAATCAAAGCGCCACCACCTATCATAGTGGATAACGTCCAAAACTTTAATAAACTCCATAGTATAATAATACAAATCCCAAACTACCAAATTAAAGTCATCAACGATAATAATGTTAAAATTAACGTTCTGGAAGGACCAGAATATAAAATGCTTTCTGGAGCATTAACAGAACAAGAGTACACTTGGTACTCATATGAGGATAAACAGAATAGACCAGTTAAAGTAATGGCATACAAACTGCATCATTCTTGCAAACCAGAAAATATAATTAGTGATTTGAAATGTCGTGGCTTCAAAACTAAAATATAGAACTAAACAACCATTGATATGTTCATGCTTATATTCCAACACGACGAAAGTGTTGAAAAAATATATGGAATCAGAGAAATTATGGGAGTATATGTAGAAATTGTACCTCTCAGAAAATTCAAGCTAGTACTTCAAAGGTACTGTGCTAAAGAGCCTCGATGCGTAAGATGCATTGGGAAACATTTAACTGTAAATTGTGCAAAACCGCAAGATGCTCCACCTAAATGCGTTCACTGCGGTAAAAGACATCCTGCTAGCTACAAGGGATGTGAAGCACACCAAAAAAAACAAACTTACCTAAACAGCCACAGCGAGTAATCCAACATAAGCCTGTTAATAGAAACAATTTAATAGACAAATCTAGATTATTCAGCTAGACGGTATCTGGTAAGAAAGAAGAAATAGATAACAATCAAGATTCATTCCACCAAATACTGGAAAAGCTGAACAAAATGGATGAATGAATTACCAGGTTATAATATAGAAGCAAAGGAGTTATACCTAAGAGACAATATAATGAGTAATAGCCTAATAATAATGGAATGGAATGCTAATGGACTGCTGCAGCACCAACAAGAATTGCAAGCAATCCCACCTCTAGAAAGCATGGACATATGCTTAATTTCATAGACTCACTTTACCAATGGTCCATTATTAAATTTAAGCGATATAAGGTTTATCATACCATTCATCTTCGAAATGCAGCAAGAGGGGGTAGCGCAGTAATAATTAGAGAAGCAATTAAGCATCATAAAGAAGCGGGATACAGGACTAAAGAATTTCAAGCTACTTCAGTAATGATAAAATCTAAAACTTCTGATGTTATGGTCACTTCTATATATTGTCCTCCAAGACATACCGTTAAAAAAGAACAATACCTAGATTTCCTCAATAGTTAAGAACCTAGATTTATTATTAGAGACGACTAAGGGTAAAAATCTAGGAGAAGCAATGACATAGTTAAAATGTGAGTGACATTCAACTGGCAAACCAACTTATTGGCCCACAGATAGAAACAAAATACCCGACCTCATAGACTTTTTTGTAGTACGAAATATTTCAGCAAACTACATCCAAGTTAATGAGGCATGGGACATGGAACAACAAGCAGCATGAGATAATACTCCACCTATTGTGCAGCAAACAATAGGAAATAACTATCCTAAAGAAATAAGGGACCTAATCTCTACAAAAAGAAAACTACGGAGGAAATGGCATCAGACCAGAGCTCCATCAGATAAAACCAAACTTATCAACGCCACCCAGCAGTTACAAATACCTTAGTGAGTTGACAAACGATAAATCCACTGATTATTTTCTATGGAAAGACACAAAGCGATTAAAAAGGCCCACTGTGCAGAATGCTCCAATCAGGAATATAGATGGTAGCTGGGCTAGAAATAATATACAAAAAGTAAATAGATTCGCTGAGCACTTAAAAAATACCTTTCAACAAAATGAAGAAGAAGAATTTCCGAACTGGGCTCCTCTAGAGAGAGGTGACTGAATTATCAGACCAACGTCTCTAAAGGAAATTGCAGAAGATATAAAAACAAATATTAATACCAAGAAAGATTCAGGCTTTGATTTAATTACAGGAGAAATCTTAAAACAACTTCCGAAGAAATCCATAATTAAACTTACACAGCTTTTGAATGCCTCATTTAAATTAAGGTATATCCCTAGATTGAAGAAAGTAGCTGAAGTCATTATGATCCCCAATATCTCTATTGCCTATAATATCAAAACTATTTGAAAAAATACTAATAAAAAGACTGAAACCCATCATTGAAGAAAGGAAACTTATTCCAGATTACCAGTTCGGCTTTAGAGAAAACCATTCAACTATAGACCAGGTTCATAGAATCTCAAATACGATTGAAAAAGCATTAGAAAACAAAGAAGTCTGTTCAGCCACCTTCCTTGATGTTGCGCAGGCTTTTGATAAAACAAGATGAAGCGTACTCTAAATTGAAAAAAATTAAAGCAGGAGTACCACATGGAAGCATCCTGGAACCCACTTTGTATCTGGTATACACTTGTGACATACCCCAACTAGAACAAGGCAAAATAGCTACATTTGCAGATGGATACTGCCAGCCTAGCGATAGGCAAAGATCATGAAGAGGCTGCAAATAAACTACAAACATCAGTCAAATAAATAATTGGACCAAAATATGGCGTATTAAACTAAACGAAATCTGTTAATATTAATTTTACTAATAAAATTGGTCAAAGAATACCAATTAACATAAATAATGCTAACTCGGCAAAATATTTAGGTATAAATTAGATGTAAAACTTGGCTGGCAGGTCCATTTTAAAAAGAAAAGACAAGAGTTAGATATAAAATTCAAGAAAATGTACTGGTTACTTGGTAGGCAATCCTGCCTATCTCCATATAACAAAATTCTATTATATAAACAAGTTCTCAAATCAATTTGGACCTATGGCATTCAGCTCTGGGGTTGTGCTAGCTACAGTAATATTCTAATAATCCAGAGATTCCAGAACAAAGTATTGAGGAACATAGTCGATGCTCCTTGGTACATTAGAAAAAGCGACCTTCATCGAGACCTTCAGATGGACATTGTTTACGAGACTATCACCAGATTCGCTAGGAGTCACGAATAACGGCGCCACCAACATGTGAACGGTGAGGCGATCCAGCTTCTTGACAACACGAACTTCACAAGAAGACTCAAGAAAGTGAAACCTTTTGAGTTAGCCAAGTGATTGGGTTAACAACAAAGCAAAGCATCGTACGGTTTAGTGTTACATGTTAGTTAATTAAGTTATCAGACCCTTAGGTATACTAGCGAGTAGAACTTTAGTTTTTAAGATTGAAACCCTATTAAAGTTAGGTTATAACAAAATTACTCATTGATCAACTCTTGATCAGAATGTAATATTAATAAAAGCCCTTTTTGGAGTGGTTTTTCACAAAAAAAATGAGAGTTGAAAACTTTTCAAAAATAAATATTTGAAGAAACTTATCTGTAAACAACCGGTGTCACAATTAAATCTAAACAACATCGTATGTACGCACCTTTTTAGAATAAAAAAAAACTGTTTAAAATAGTGATACATACCGCAGACCATGGGCCAGTTTGCCACTCAAAATCTCTAGGCTGATCAAATCGCTGTGGTAACTCATTGTCACTGGGATTTTCACAGAATATTTCTTTGCAAGGCTTCGTTTGTATGGGTGGCTTTGGTGAACTACATAATACTTCGGCCAGCACTTGCGATTCTTGCTTACACTGAGGTATATATTGTTGAACGCCTTCACCGCATGAAACACTGCATTGACTCCAATGATATTCCCAAGAAGGAGGACAAGGAGCAGTATTACAACGGATAGGTGCTGGAGTTGGAGAGTGAAGATGGGCGCATCTTCTGTCTGGCACTGGTATCTTGGAATTTCCAACTTCTCGGGTACATGTTTTGACGTAAGTTTGAAGACCTGCGAGAAACATTTATTACTTTTTGTTTCATTATAAACTTAAATAATTTTCAAATAAACCAATGTTTTTAAAGAACGATAATAATTGTTCGTAGATCAAGATATATTAAGGTAGATTAAGGTGGTCAGAACAGTATGAACGGAAAAATACTAGTATCGAGTATACACTTAAATATCGTAAGCAACAGTATCGATACTCAAAATATCGAAATGGTATTACATGTAAAAGTAAATTAATTATAAGATATTAAACAATAAAATTCATATAGGGAAGTATAAATTTATATTTAGGTGTATAAAAAGAATATACAATATTTTAACCGAAACAATGTATGTATCTTTAAATCGAGTATCGACGAACTCCTATCCAGGCAGCACATATTTTAGATCTATTTGAGGCTCAGAACGTCCATATCCGTATTCAAAAATCCAGTATAAGCCCGATTATGATCATTAATTTGACAGCTGCATATCGATGCCCAGAGGACGTCTGTTTTCGGACTTAATTTTCAGTTTAGTAGTATTTTGACGTCCATCTTAGGTCATTATTTATTTAGCTTACCAGAAAATATCCATCTATATACATTTTCTTTTTTTTAATTATAATTGGTCATTTAAAATTGACAAATTGAAACTATTGTATTTCATTCTATCTGTATCTGTAACGTGTGGAGGGTGGGTTACCTCCACGGCACTTAGGCCACACTAGACCCATTATGTATCCTCCTAGCTTATTAGGCCCATTGTGCATCCTCTTAGCTCGTGAGCCAGCCTACAGATTTAATGTAGTTGATAACGTGGTCAAGAGGTGCTTCTCTTATATTGGCTGGTGTTAACCGATATTCACCGAACACAAATCTCCTAATAAACGAGTAATCGTAGAGGATATGCTCGATGGTATCATCTTGTTCGCACCATCTGCAGAGTGCGGATTCTGACATCCCCATGATATGGAGATGCTTTCGTACTTGGCAATGACCAGTCAGAATGCCTGTGACTAGGCGCAGATTTTGTCATAGACAGGTATTTTTCTGCTGCAATGTTAGGTCTGTCACTACCGATTTTGTCAGGCCAATAGAAGGGCCAGGTCCAAAAAGTATTTGGTTGGCTGCTTTCTTGGCCAGTGAATCAGCAAGACGGTTACCTTTCGATGTAGCGTGACCTTAAGGTGATCACGTTGTTCATGGATAATACTTCGGCCAAAACTTCGTGACATTCTAGTACTAACCCTGAATAAATTCGTGGTCTGTTCAGGGTGAGTAGTGCTCGTCTGTTCTCTGTATAGATGAGCATATTCATTCCAGTGATATTGTTTCTGGTGATTTCTTTTGCTGCTATAAGAATCCCCGTAAGCTCTGTTTGAACTACACGGAACTATTACTCACAGCCCATTTTATGTTAAGATCTGGAGTATATTCAAAATCCTACGCCTTGGTTTGTTTTAGAACCGTCGGTGTAGATATGAATCTTTCTGTTACAACTTTATATGGCTTATGGAATATATATCTTGGTGAGATGGAGTCCATGTTCTTCGAGCATATATTACTAGAGTCATCGTCCAAATGGACTTTGTTTTGGTACAGGGGGAAAAACAGTGTCCAGCATTCCCATTGGTCTGTTTCATTTTGCTTGGCATGTCATATCGTTTGAAATTGTCAGAACTGTCATTTGGTTTTTGACTTTCATTAATTTCTAGCTTATTTTTGTAGTTTATAAGTGATTTTTTGTATTTTATTACTTTAGTGATACAAATTTTAACAATGGTGAGAGTTTGTGTAAGATTTAAATAGAAATACGAAAAGGCATCGTCAAGGTTATTCCACAAGTAAGTAACCATTAGCGTCTCTACCATTTTTTTAAAAGAAACATAAATATCTACATTTTATGCAAAAGGCCGTTAAACATGAATTTAAAATAAATGGTAAATTTAGTGAATTAAATTTAACGAACTTATTATGTATGAGGAATATTGTTTTAGATTTTGGACTCTAAAAAGTTAAAAAAATAATCACAATTTTTTAATATTAACAAGCTTTTCGTTTTTAACTCATTTTATCATGATAATGTTGAAGATGTTAAATCAATAATTTTTTTTTGTAGGTTTCTAACTAATCCTGCCGAAAAACGCATTTGATAAAACATATTGAAACTTACTCCAGAAAACATTTCAAATGGTGATTTTTTATGTTACAATCATTTTTCTGGACATATGTTTATGTCACAGACTAGATGTGGAGGAAGAACTAGATTAATTCCAGGTGCATTGCCGTAAGGACTTACTGAGACCCCAGAAGAATATGAAATTAAAAGGTAAAGAACCCTGCACTTGTGGGTTAATCGTTAAAATTTTTTTAATTTTTTAGTGATGATCTGAACCATGAAGCCTCTGTTGCAGAAAAAGAAAATGCAGAATTAGAAAGCATATAAGTAACTAAGGGCGGATTCCACCGTTGTGTTAAACGGAGATTAAAATGACATTGTTAATGTAAAAATGTCAATTTAAACTTCGTTTAACACAACGGTGGAATCGGTCGTATGTACTTTTTAATACAACATAAATTTTATTTTCAAACACTTACCTATTTTTTTTTTTTTTAATTTGGTGTCATCGGCGTCGACTACTACGGCCATTAGCCTCGTGTTCTGTGTAGGCTTTATTACTGTTTCCCAGCGCCACTTTAGGAACAGCACTGTTAATTAGAACCCAACAGTGAATGGTCGAGTGGGGAATCCTAAACTTACCTATTACTAATTATTTTTTTTATAAACCACAAACATTGACAATCATTATTTTTATTAAATATACCTATGTTCTTTAATTAAGTAGACTGCTAGTCGTTAAGAAATAAGCAAAGCCTAATGTGATTTTTTTCATTAAAAAAATCATTTTAAGCTTCTTTTCTTTGTACTCCTAGTCATTGAGAAATAATCGAAGCTTAAGACACTTTTACGATAAAAATTAAGCTTCACTTATTTGTTAACGACTGGTAGTGCAAATGTACCTAAGTATTAGCTTGATTTCTATTTGTAGGATATCGTTTAGTAATCTATTAAACATTGTTTACGAACAATATTTTTATGTTTAATAAATTATTGGAAAAAATTATTTTATTGTAATTCTCGTACACGTATGTTAATAGATATCATAAATATTTTTTTAATATACCTAATATTTATTTATATTTTTGATTTTGAAATATAAGCTCTTTATCTTTTTTATTGCCTATTATTTTAACCTTCATTTTCCGTTATACACTTTCTGATGTTTGAATTAAAAAAATCTGATGTATCCAACACAAATAATAATAATAATAATAATAATAATAAATAATAATAATTTACTATTACTAGATACCTACTTAAATAATGCAAGTTTATAAAATATGTGTATAATTTAAAGAATTTTAAAGGTATATATCAAATTTATTTATATTATTGCAAACCCCGTAAAAATGATGCGACACTGAAAATAGTGTCTACCTGTTTCCCCTCATAACCCAAACAAACGCTGTTGAATGCGGACTCTATGAAATATATATGCTCGAAGTCCATGTTCGCTAGAAGCAGTGGGAGCGTATCGAGCGCCTCCTGCCAAAAGCCACATCTCACCTCACCAGATCCTACATCAGGTTCTATTCCAACCGTGCGGAGGCGTATCATTGTCGTCAGAGCAACCTCCTTGATGTAAATATCAAGAGGAGTGAGACTAAGAATTACTTCCATGGCTCTGGTCGGTGTTGTTTTTATGGCTCCTGTTATGTTGAGACAATGCTGTTTCTTTGAATTTGTTCTAGTTTACGGATAGCAGTTAATTTTTGAGTTTTCGGTACCCAGACAACTGTACCGTATGTTAGCATAGGTGCGCCCAACGGTTCGGCGGCATTGTTCATTAGCAATGTATGCTCTTTTGAGTCTGTTTTCTAAATGCGAGTTCCATGTTAACTTGGTGTCAAAGGTGAGACCTAGGTACTTTACCTCTGTTACAAAGTTTAGTTTTGTGTTTAGGAGTTCTGGAGGTTTAAATTCCTTTTTCATTCTTTTCCTTGTAAAAAGGACTATTTCTGTTTTCTTAGGATTGATAGACAGTAAATGGTCCTTGCACCACTGTTCTATAATTTTTAGAGCTACTTGCATTCTTTCGCAGAGTATGTTCTCAAAATTCCTTGTGTGCAGAATGACCATAAATAAACTTAGACTAGTGATTTTGTGAAGGGGAGGGTGGGAAATCTGAGTATAGTACATTGAGAGCATATAAGATAGAAAGGAGCGATATACCAAGCTTGGAGCCACTCCAAATCCTAAACTTTTTTGAAAAGATAAGATTGGAAAGGTCGTTATAGTTAAAGTATTTCCTCGCTGCCTTAGTGTAGGAAGGGATCACAATATATCTTTGAGGTCGCAGTGAATCTGATGCCCAATAAAATAGTTAAACTATATGTAAGCTCTCCGAGTACCTATATATATATTTCATTAATTTTTGTACTGAATTATTGGACAATCATATTATCAAGAGCTTTATCTGCAAACAGGATGCTCACTCTTCACGTTGTTTGTTGTAAGTGTTATTCAAATAGTGACGTACAATCTTTAATGCAAGAGTTAATTGATTCATATATGGGTAGAATTTGAAAAGATATTGACCACAATTTATGTACTTAAACAATGTATATTACCTCCTCCGCATGATTTGGAACAGGCGGTTCGTCCGGTAATTTTCCAATGGTAGTGCTTTCTTCTTAATCTAGTTCTTCTAATTCCTGGTACCGGTAGAGGCGGCCTGGCTTCGTCTCTTTGGCTAATTGATGTGTTAAATGGAATACTTGGCTGTTTCGATTCGAGTGCGGTCGGTTCGTTGCTATTTCGCTTCAGTAGTGGTGGAGCAATTTCGGAAATTGGAAGAGAATAGCCATATTTTATTCCAGGATTGGCTTGATAGTTTACAATCTAAAAAATGTATTATACGATTTATTTTACTGCATATAATCTATTATACTTAGCATGTGCCTTTTTAGGTCAAAAAATATTTAGCGCCTCTAAAAGTCTACAGCGAATCTATATAGGTACATATAGTGTACAGAAGGATAATAAGTATATAACCATTGTAAAGAATCTTTAACAATATTCGTTTCTCACGTGATCTAGTTGAACAAGAAATTAAATGAAAATGGCCGCTCTTGGTGACTTAAATGATAACTTAAGTGTTTTACGGTCACTGCTATAGTTATTAATGTTACTTTTAACCAACTGATGACATCAATTTAGTCACGTGGAAGGTGAGATACGGATATTGTTAAAGACCTTGTAGGTAATGTAATTTGGGCTAGAACTATCATTAGATGGCGCTACTTTCTTATTTCTTAATTTCACTCAACCAATATTAAGTTATACAAGTGAATTTTACAGCTTCTATAAGAGATTGGAAGAGATATTGTCTATTTCTTACTGACGAGTCCTAGTAAGGATGAAACCGGTCTAAGAATCACGTTCTTCTTAGTAAACAAAATCAAAACTTGACTGTTGCAATAATTATCAATATCTGCTGTTTTTCTTTAGATATAATCCAATCCCTGTTTTGACATTAGCCAAAGTAATAAACGGTCGCTTTTATTTTTTTGTTACACATGGTTTGGAGATTTTCTTGTTTTCTTTATTTGAGATTTTGGTCACATTTGAGTTTAGAATTACTTTCTTTTTTTATATATCATTACATAATTCATAACTATTGCACTAATGAGTTTATAATTGGCAATATTATTTGAAAATATAAAGAATTTACCAAAAATTTTAAAAAAGTAGGTGTTTTTTAATGTTTTTAATTAATATTCAAAATAAAACATACGTATTACAATAAAATCAAAAAATTCTAGTCAATGGTTTACATTGAACTAGAGAATTCAACGTAAAACGTTGGCATTCTAACAAGTACAATTGTCACGTAAATACTGAATTTAAATAGTGAAACTAGATAGAAAGAAAAAGACTCGAGTGAGGACCGAGGTCCAGTACTCTTGCCGAAAGACGAGACTAATCTCGTTTCGGGACCCTAAGTCCCGAAACAAAGTAATGTGTAAAGTAAAGTTTTCTGCAGCGATTTGTGAACTACGGGTAAATATCTTTAACTTATTTTTAAAGTGTTTTGTTTGGGATAATTAATTGATTTACATATAAAAGCCAAATTTTACAATTTCGTCCCGAGTATTATTTTTTATATTATATAGTTAAAGTTTCCAGTGCTATTTTAGTTGTTAATGAGTCCAAACTATATAATTCAATAGGAAGTTTATCTAGTTGTCATAAATCATAGGTTTTTATTAAATCTTGGGATATAGTATCAAATTGTATTCCCTAAATATAATTTGATTTATTTATTCTTGAGACTTTTGGTCAATTTTGTACTTATTTTAAATCTACATTTGTTAATGTTTTAATAATAATCATTAATCTCTCCTCCATCAGTGAAATATTCCGAGTATTTGAGAAGCCTCGGTGTTTCTGTTCCCTTAGGACCAGAAGAGTCTAAAACTAGTTGCCAAGAACCGCTCGACTATGCTATTAAGAGATAATTTTTGTTATTTTAATTTTATTTTTTTATTATTTTTATTTGCCAGTGGTGAATGGATGTTCCTTCTGAACTCCAGGACTCTTTGGCTGGTGACAGTGCTGCCTTAATCCCTTAATAGTATATTAATAACAGTAGCTAAAGACCTGTCTGGTCTTTAGGCTAATTGGTTGCTACATTGCTGTTATTTACTACTAAAATTGTTTTAAAGAACTCCAGAATGGAACTCTAATCAGAAATTGATACAAGGATTATAAAGATATTTTTACATGGGTAGGCATAAGGAGTAAATGGGCCAACTATTTTTACAAGGACAGACTTAAGAGGTAAAAGGTCCAAATATTTTTACATTGAATAATGGGCCAAATATTTTTACATTGGCAGACGTCACAAACCCGAAAATGAAATGTAATTCGGTCTATAGTTCAAAATCAAATCGCTTCTAGTTTTTTTTTTTTTAATTCTACTAGTTTACTCATAGGCGCCTCAGTCCCGATAAGCCGGGACCCACCAATTTTGCTTCCTGCGAATTTTTATTTCATTTTAATTTTGCTCAATGAAAGCGAAGTCTGGAATACAGAGAAAAATTTGTTCAAGTATGTAACCAAGAATATATATTTTAAATTCAGCATGACTTTAATTCTTAAATGAAGTAAAATATTCTTTATTTAAATCCTGAAATTCTTAAATTAACAATTTTTTAATCAAAAGTTATAAATAAGTACCAACGTTGTTAATTTCAAATAAAAATAAAGATTTTTTAGCATGTGTGCTTAAAAATTTCTTAATTGAAGACTGTGGCATGCTTGGCTCAAAAATAAGCTCGAAAATGCTTACGTTTTGAAACAATTTGTAAATAAAAAGATCATGAAACTCCGTAGTTTTTAAGACACTATCATAACTAGCTGAATCATTCAACTACAGAAGGGGACAATGCACGGAGGTGAGAACTCATGTACTGCATGCAAGAAAAAAGTAAAAAATATGGTTTATTATTGTTTATTATTTAAAAGTATTTATACAGGGAATTACAATGCAAACTCTCCACCCTACATAATCAAAGTGAGGCTTTTATAAAAAAATACAAAAATAAGTCAAAAATTATATAAAGGGGGTCGTCTTAGAAAAAAAATAGAAAATATAGAAAGAGAGAAAACAAAAGCGCAAAATGAAACTTCCAAACAATTCACTTTATATCTTAGTTATACATTTTCGGAAAAAGTCTATATCTGCCTTGTTTGGGCTTCGTACGTCCCATTTGTCCGATTAGCAAAAATATCCGATGAAATAAGTAAACTACCAAACTGCTTCTATAGGAACGACTATGGCCCACGCCGATCAACAACCTAGAATACACTAGAATAATAAAAAATGTCAATTTTTGGCGTAGGTACCATATTATAATACGGTCGAAGACATTGGCGACAGCTTCTGGAACCTATCCTTTGTGTATAAATAGACTCTTGCCGTTTGTTGGAAAGTTAGTTCAAGTCCAGACATTATTGTGAGCACATTGATATAGTTAAATGTCCATATAAATTAATACTTAAGTGAATATGATATATAAATTGGAAATATTCAGTACAAATAAAAAAATTAGCACATTAATGAAAATACATTAAATTAATACTGAATGTTAGAGAATATTTTTACTCTGGTTTTCGGTAAACTCAATTTATTTTAAACTCAAACTTTTACAATACAACTATATCATTAAATAGCTTCCTTGCATTTTCTCGAACCGTTCAGATGTTTCTGACATGGAGTGACATTTCTAGACATTTCTAAATTGTTCTCCCTTCTTTTTTTATTAGTACTTTTACTTATGACAACCATAGCACACTGTAGGGTGATGGGTGATATTGCACCTTCTATTTTATTCGTATGTTTCCTATAACAGCCGCAGGCTACTGCAGGGTGGGTAACATTGCACCCTCCTCTCTAATTAGTCGTCTAGAATAACTTTATTACTGGGACCTGATTAAAGTCAACGAGGAGGATCTGAACCACGATATGCCGCTAACTTTTTAAGGTGAATTACCTTGGCATTACTTTCTGCTGTTAACTGAATGCGGTAGATCAGTTTCTGACAAAGTTCTTTCCGACGCTTGGGATTGTACAGCCATACTGGGTCGCTTCTCTCAAAATGTGTCCTTGTGGCATGCATGTCGATTCTAGCTTTTGCTTTATCGCTGTTGACTTTCAAACGTTCGCGAGCGAAGTTCTGTATGTACGGTGTACGGCTCTCTTCTTCACCAGGAGACTGCTATCTTAAAAGGAGATCATGGAGAAGCTTCATCTCCCTTCCATTATTCATCATAGATGGAGTATAATTGGTCGATTCATGTTTAAAACTTTGGTAGACTAGGAGAAATAGATGATATTAAAGTGTCCCAGTCCTTTTGGTTTTGAGAGACGAACATTGAACAATACTGGCATATGGCATATGGTGTATTTCTACATTCTGTCGGAATATATGTGGAGAGGCGTAGTGCATGTTTTCCTGATGCCTAACAATTTCGTCAATTCTTGGAATAATTCGGATTCAAAATTTTATCCTTCGTTAGAATGCAATTCCAGAGGGACTTTACGTCTCGTGTTTGTCATGAATGCTTCTGCTACTGTCGTCGCTTTCTGATTAAGAATAGGCCCTATTTCGGGCCACTTTGAAAAATAGTTCATAATAACAATCAAGTATCTATTTCCCCTCCCTGTTAAGGGAAGTAGTTCGATGATATCTATGGCGATTTATTCGAAAAGCTCTCCGGAAAAGTACTGTGTCATTTTATCTCGGCTTCTTAGTTTAGACCCTTTCCTGCCATTGCATAAATCACATTTCTCACACCAATCTTCTAAATCCAGTCGGCAATTGACCCAATAAAATCTTTCCCGGACTCGTACGAGTGTCCTTTTAGTACCAAAATGTCCTCCTGAACGGCTGCTATGAAGCTCCTGCAACACACTTCTAAAATGTGATTTCGGCAATATCACTGCCATCCGTCCGTTCAATGCCCTTTAATAGTTCCACTATATTTGGCTATCTCTTGCCAATTAGGCATGACGCCATTTTTTAGTCATTCTCGGACAACATTCAAATCATTGTCTTTCTTTTGAGTCTTTCTTAGGCTTTTAAGGGTGATTTTGTCTTCGTCATCCTTTGGCCTGAAGACTAAGTCCTTCAACCAGTTCCTCTCGTTCTTCGAGCCTTTTACAGTACCGTTCTAAACGGGGTCATCTAGAAAGAATATCTGCGTTGCTATGGAGACGGCCCCTTTGATGTTATATTGTTGCAGTATTTCTATCCATCTAGCAACTTGTCCTTGTCCAGATTTTTTAAAATTCATCAACTACTGCAAGGTGCTATTATTACTTTTAATGATAAAACTTCGGTTAAAAAGGTAATTATGGAAGTGTTCAAGATTTTTTAATAATAGCAAATAGGTATTTTCTAGTGACGCAATATTTCTTCTCAGTTTTCCACAAGGTCTTACTAAAATACGCAATTATTTTCTCTTTCCCTTCTTGTTTTTGTGATAGCGCGGCGCCTGAGCCGCGTTTGGATGCGTCGCGGTCCAAAATAAATTTTCCTTTTTTCAGAGGGTAGGTTACCGTGGTTAATCGCGTTTTCAACTCTACTCTATTCTTTTCTTGTTGTTTCTCTAAATTTGCTGTTAAATTATCTTATTGTTGTACTAAATTAGTTTTTAAATTCTCTTGTTGTGCTAGGAGATTCACTCGACTTTTCAGCTGACCTACGTTTTGCCTGAAGTTTTCTTGAATTTGCAGCAGCCATTAATAATTTCCGCCTTTGCTTTTCTAAGCCTCCCTGCTACGCCTTTCCTTTTCCTCTTCTTCTTCCTTCCTACGTCTTTCCTTTTCATCTTTCTTTCTACGATATTTCTAGACTGTTCGCTTTTCTTCTTCTTCTTCTTCTTCTGTTTTTCTTTTATTTGTATTTTTACTTATGACAACCTCAGGATACTGTAGGGTGGCAGGTGATATTACACTTCTTCTTTTATTCATACGTTTCCTATAACAGCCACAGGCTACTGCAGGTTGCAGGGTAACAATATAAAAAAGCAATAATATTGTTATAGGGTGTCCCATTAAAAAAATATGGGAAAGAGAGGGAAATAGTTACAACGATTATACATAAAAGCAAAAAGACGATCGCCTTTATATGATTTTTGACTTATTTTATCTGTAAGAAACTTATTCATACGGTATAGAACAACGAATACCTTCTAATATCCCTTGACACAAGTGCGTGTAAAACCTACAAAGAGCCAGCACTAGAGCAAGCAGGAAATACTTACAATCAGTAATGTCAGCCTATACGGCCTGGCGAACTTTACAACGCGATCGGGTCGTATAAATGGCAAATCTGGTTTTGTTTTTTTCCTGCTTGCTCTAGTTTTTACACACTCTTGTGCCAAGGGATATTATAAGGTATTCATTAGCCGATACCGTATACTTTAAAAAAATATAAGATAACCAATAGCTTAATAAAAATAGTCAACACTTTCGCAAACTGAATTTTATGTAACCAAACTCTAATCCCCGCATATATTACAGCAGCCCGTATTTGCTCCGAAAACAAAGGTAATTTAATATCTCAACAAATGTCTGTATTCATATAACAAACAAACAAACAAATAAACAAACAAACATCATTTTACCCACCATTATATCTACGGTGTTTGCCAAAGGTCCTGGCGATGTTAACGTTTCCAGAGAATTCTCGTCCTGCCGGATGTAAACAAACTTTGTTCCAGCTCCTTGAAACACTCGGCTGTTGCTTAACTTCCAATCCCCATTAACGATGAATGAGCCGTTGCTGTTTTTTAGCGCTGAAAAAAACGGAAATTGTTAGTTACACGAAACTTATTCGGGTTTGGGAGTTTTGATTAAACTGGAAATCTGTAACTGACACCAGCCGAGATATATTATGAAAACAGTCGACAGCACGAAGCTAGGTGGTTATAATATTCTATTTAGATATATAGATATAAATAAAATATGATGTTTTTCTCGGTAGAATTATTAAGTTGGTAAAATGGAATTTAGATATTGGAGACCTAGTAAAAATTAGATTTTACTGAAAATTTGGCAAAGGAAAAGATATATTTATTTCATGTTTATAATGTTTTCGTAAAATTGATTGAAAAAAAGTCAAAATTGATTCCCATACTTCAAATGAAATAAGTTGGTCTATTGGTTAGGATTATAGTACGGTTATACCATGTTGATGTATCTACATTTACATACTCTTATTATCTACAAACTATTACTTTGATTCGTATTTGCTTTTGTTTTTTAAGGTTTTTCAATATTGATTGATATACAGTATGTCCCCCTAAGTTGGAATCATATGGAAAACTTTTTTATTATTAATTTTAGGAAAAAAAGTTGTTCTATATAAAAAGATCTGCATTATCTAAAACCTAGAATACAGTCATCAAATATCAAATTTTTTCAGTGGTATACTCGACTTTTTATAAAGAACAACAGTTTTTCCTAAAACTAGTAATAAAAAAAGCTTTCATATGCCACCAACTGCACGTAAATTGACGGCATATGAAAATGTTTTTTATTATTAATATTGGGAAAAAAGTTATTCTTTAGAAAAAGTTGAGCATGGTCTAAAACCTAAAATACAACCATCAGATATCAAATTTTATCAGTCGTATAAATAATAGAGGTACTTTACTCTAGAGTAAAACTCATATTTTTTGACAAACCTCGTATACCACTGAAAAAATTTGATATTTGATGACTGTATTCTAGGTTTTAGATAATGCAGAACTTTTAATGAAGAATAACTTTTTCTTCCTATAATTAATAATAAAAAAATTTTCATATGATTCCAACTTAGGGGGACATACTGTATATAAAAATAATTTTTTGATTAAAGTATTACGAAAAGTCATTTAAGTTTTCTTTTTCCGAAATAGCAGATAAAATAACAGTATCCACTAGTGAAACTTCAATTTATGAGCCCAGGCTTAACGTGCTGTTTAAATCTGTACCTAACATTACAATAAGTAATATTTGTTCCAGTGCAAGTAGTTGCTTCTAAAAACAACAATTATGGTTGTATATTTTGGTACGTGGAATACCAGGCGTGACTTATGTAATAGAAGGCAAGCTACTAAAACCAGCACCTTTATCTGCTCAGGCTACTGAATATCACCGTTAAAACTATGATACACAGTTGGCGTATTTTACCAAAGCAGAAACCAACACACTCCTAGTACTTACAACAAATATGACAGAAGGTACTCTTCAAAACAGAAGACAAACGATTTGTGTACAGAATTCTTAAGTTATAAAAGACTGATTGATGACAAAGCTACTCACACATCTAAATTAAAGAACCTTAGGAAAGAACTTCAACAAGACATCTATAAAGATAAATGAACACTACATAATCAGTGTATATGTGATTTACCCGAATTGTTACTTATTTGCAAAATACTTGGTACACCTGAAGAATATTACTCCTTTAAGTCTAGCTGGCTACCGATGGCGAAATCCGAGAGATCTGTAGACAATCTCAAAAATCAGTTATGCGCCTACGAAAAAGCATTGGGTATGTAACAAAAGCGATAGCAAAATCAAAGAAGTGCTAGCTATAGAAAGAAGTAAAGTCAACAAAAAGATTAAACCTAAGAAGAATCTGATCTGCCACTATTGCAAGCAAGCTGGCTATAGAGTTCGTCAATGTGCCAAATGGAAAGCCGACGGACGTCCTCCAAAGCCCCAGACAAACAATAGCAATAAAAGATCAAGTCAAGGACATACATTTAACACTAGTAGCACTTAGTTTTGAAGTTTTGAGTATAGAAAATGATCCAGAACACTGGTTTGTAGATAATCGTGCTACAAATCCATCACCAGTAGATATGATCTTTCAAACATTTCAACTCTTTGATTCTAGTTATACTATTACCACAGCCAATGGTGATGCAATACAGGCAGTTGGCAGAGGATCAATAAAATAAAAGCCACTGTATATGGCAAATCAGAACTTCTTAAACTAGCTAGTGTCTGGGATATTCCTGGCATAAAGAAGAACCTTTTTTCTCTATTAGATACACAAGACAAACATCCCAACAGCGAGTTTCGTTCAAGGGCAGAAGATTGCAGTCAAATTAGTAGGTGTTCAAAATCGATTCGGAGGACTGTTTAAATTAGCTCTTCAACACTTAGCTCCTGTAAGCCATGCAATAAACAAGTTGTCGGTTGGTAGCCTGTTGCAGATCTCTGTGTATCTCTGTAACGTGTGGAGGATGAGTTACCCCACGGCACTTAGGCCTCATTAGGCCCATAAGCCTGTTGCAGATATATCACGAAAGATTTGGACACCAAAATAAGAGACATGTAAAATCTTTTATCGATCGTAAATTAGATATAAAAGTACCACTAGATATATAGTGAGGGATGCATTTATGGAAAAGCACATAGATTAAAATTTGGTACTCCGACGCATGTGGGCCTTTCATTGAATCGAAGTCAGGAAATCGATATTTTGTGCTCTTCAAAGACGACTTCAGTAAATTTAGATACATCTACTTTATGAAAGAAAAATCTGAAGTTGTTGACAAACTAAAAATAATGTTACCCTTTTTACATCTCTCTGGCTTTATCCAAGGTTGTCAGGTCTAGTGAAATTTCACTAGACCTAGTAAGTTTTGAACAAATCTAGTGATTTAGTGAAAATTTCGTTTAATACTCTATTCTTGGGACTTTTTTTGAAATTGAATTAAATTCAAAAATAGACTAGGAAAGATAAAAGCTTAAAACATCTACGGAAAAAATGCTATGATGATCTACCTTGGTAATAGGAGTAGTGATCCGTATAGCTGTTTCAACTATGCTTAATCTGCGTTCATTGTGACTGTCTTGAGAGGACTGACTGTTATGTTAACATATTGCATTCCACTATTATTTAAACATCTCAATTTCATTGGAAGATATACATATTTGGATTAAGAGAAGAAGTGAAAAAGTATTCAAGGTACTTAAACTCACTCGCTACTTTCTAGATGGCGAACTTCATTCACATTTACAATATTTACAGTTTTCAGCCAATAAATGAAATAAATACAAGTATGTAATTTATTCAATCTTCTATAAACAAAGTATCGGATACTTTAAACTCAGCAAAGTATCCAATCTTTTCTATTGGAAAGATACTTTTGCATATTACAAAGTTAATTCGATCTAGTGATTTTTTTAGACATACTTCTACTTCTGTCTTAGTCAGTAGTAGTTAGGATGAGAATGAAACGAGCTGGAACGTGCTCTTGTGGTGCAGACGTTTCGAAATTCGCGCCAATTTCGAAACGTCGGCCGGGAGCGCTCGCTCTCTTCTGTAGTGCTTATAAGGTGAATTGCATTTGAAACTTTATTGACAGTGTACAACATAAATATAAAACAAAACACAATTCCCGGATCGGGTTTTGAGTCGGCGTAAGCAGCTTCACCTATTTTACACCTTGTCGCTAAAAATAAAGGTTAGGCTAAACATAGTAGCCCTCACTCCTTGCCAGAGAAACATTATTGAGGGGTTGTGGTGTTATTGTAGTCAGTAATTGTCATAGTTTAAAGATTTGTCGAGGATTAATTTGGTCTTTGTCCCCTGAAAAAGCTAGGAAAAAACAGGGTTGTCAACAATGTACGTTGGTCTTTCGATAGTTTTCGTTATTGTAACAATTCACAGGACTACTGACCTAGAAAACCACCCGAAAGTGCCAAAGTCCAGGACGGAATCGCCCTCGGCCGTGGCCATCGCTCAGTAGTCCGTCCGACTAGATCCGCAAGTATCTACATCGAGTGAATTGTTGTTTAGTACGTTATGCACAGTCGCGGGTCCTGTTATTGTCGTCGGAATATGCTCAAACATTTATGAAGACAACCGTGCTTTCTATGCACGCCGTCTTTCCGATGTATGTTGATAATGCTATCCCTCAACTCATCGGGGAGGCATCGCGCCCACAAGTTTTCAGCTGTTGAAGTAATGAAATCCTTCATGTATGGCATATTTGTAGTAGCGTGCATGTCTCGTATTCTAGCGTAGCGATCGCACCCTAGAACTAGCCTCAGACATCTGTTTTGAGTAATTTGTAGCTTATTATGATGAATTTGTGCCATGGAGCAGAAAACCGGACAGCCATATGTCAGTATGGGTCTGAAAACTGATTTGTAAAGTAATATCTTGTTAGACAGAGTAACTCTGCTGCGTTTATTCATGAGGGGGTAAAGAGTCCTCAGAATACCGCAGTTCTTTGTCACCATGTCAACAACATGCTGTCGAAACGTTAATCCCCTATCTAAGTATTTAATATAAGGTTTTGCCACTATTGGCTGATTTTGGACTCGAAGGGGCGTGTCTTCGGTCCGCCTTTTAGATAAAAGAATTGTTTCGGTCTTCGCGGAATTAATTTTGATTTTGTTGTTGTCCAGATAGGTGATTAACGGCCCGTTTATATGACCACCAGCTTCCTGGTGGCATCTTGTGCTAATTTGTGACTTGAGAATAAACAGATATCATCGGCGTACAACGCCGTTTGTACACCATTATCACCCATGGGTAAATCACAGGTCATACTCGTATACAAATGCGTCGAAAGTACTGAGCCCTGGGGCACTCCCGCCTGCGCTAGGAAAGGTCCTGTTATTGTGGAGTTAATCTTAATACAAAATTGTCTGTCCGTCAAGTATGACTGGATTATTTTCACAATATGCACGGGAAAGTCATTCACAAGCATTTTGTGTATTAGCCCACGGATCCATACGATGTCAAAGGCCTTCTCACAATCTAAGGTTACTAGCACGGTTTGAAGGTCATTGTTGAATCCTTCTTTTGCGTGATGCGCTATTCGGAGTATTTGGGAAATGGTACTATGTCCCTCTCTGAAACCGTGCTGTTCCCGTGGGATAATTTGTAAACGTTGTTCTGTTTTCTTAAGTCGAATCAAAATTACTGTGTCCGTTATTTTAGCGATTGTATTCAGTAAGGAAATGGGGCGGTAACTATCGATCTTATTGGCCGGTTTTCCTGATTTTAAAATTGGTATGATATTTGCCATTTTCAAGTCACTGGGATAGTGTTGTAGCTTGAAAATGGCATTTATTATATGATGGAGCTGCACGACAGCTTTTCTACTGAGGTTCTTAAGTACAATATTACTGATATTGTCCGGTCCCGGAGCTTTTCTATTTTTGAGACTCTTAATTACTTCACACATCTCTTTTGGGGTGGTAAAAAAGGAATGTGGCACTATTTGCGGTTCCGACTGCTCCAGCGCATTTACCAAAAGTTCAATGCGCTGTTGTTTTTGTTTGTTTTTTTTTTATAAAACAAACAGTAATGAGATAAAATAAACAAAACACACTGTTCTAAATACATAACACTAATTTGAAATGTGATTTAGTGTAACTCATTAGAGGGGTGTTTACCTGACCGTTGATGAAGTTAGACTGAAAGAATTCACCGAAGGCTTGGCCTTTGTCTTTGTCAGTGTTAAGTATGTCAGGTCCTTGTTTCATTGTGGGAAGCAGCGAGTTCGGTTTTTTAAACCTTTTCACCACTTTCCACAATGTATTGTCTTGTGGTTTGAGCTCAGATAGGGTGGTTTTCCATTTTTTATTTCTATAAGGTGGGTGGGATAAGCGTAGCGTGTTTTTATGGTGTAGGTGGACAAAGGTGAGAAAAGGGCGCACTCGCCGACGTTTCGAAATTAGCGCGAATTTCGAAACGCAGGCTGGACGTGCTCGCTTAACTTACTCTCTTTTGTAGTGGTTAGGAGGTGGATCGGACGAGCGTAGCGTGCTCTTATAATATAGGTGGAAAAAGGGGATGTCGGCCGGGCGCAATCGCTTCGGTAGTATTTGTTAAAAATAAAATTATTTTATCAAGGTTGGTCGATAATTTTGAAATTTTGGATACAGACTTACGTTTTGATTTCAAGCAACTTTTCTAAATAACTTTTTGAAGTATCTGTTACCGAAAAGGTACTATTTTGACAAAATAAATAAAAAATCATAGTTGGCCGTGTATTGTCAAATTTAGTACATGTACATAGATGGTGATTGTAAACAACTTTTCTTTATACTTTTTAGTATATATATACAACATAAAAGGCACTTTACTCTGGAGAAAAATGTTTTTTGAAAATTTCCAAAATATCCTTTGTTTTGTAAAACTGTAGTTATGTTGAAAATCAGTCTTCAAACAACCTCAAAACAAGAAAATGAAATCGAGAATTTGGTACCTTTTTTAAAGAGTCGTTTCACTTATCTGGGGACACACTGTATGTGATGACACTTTATTCGGAGGTTTTTCTGGTTTAGGAATTAGGATAACTTTAGCAATTTATCACGCATATGGTATTTATTTAGGGAAAAATGCTGTATTTATGAGGTTGTGTTTACTTTCGTACTAATTTTAAGTTCTATTCTGCATTACAGGCCTGAAGATGGTTTTATTATACAGAAACAAGTCGTACCTGTATTTATGAATAATACATTTTAAATGTGGTATTGATTTTATGTTTTAGTTTTTCGATTTTCACCTGTTTGTTGTGTGCAGTCCTATTTTCTTATTAGACTTCGTAAAAATATATTAATGATTTGAAAAGAAAAATAGACGTGCCATTTCTTAGATTAAAATACATCTATCTCGATATACACTTACCGATAAAGTTTCTAGTATGCTTGAGTTGTTGCACGAGAATTCTGCAGGCTCCCGCAGGAATTTGCGCCACTAGCGAATAACCAGGCGGCAAATCCGGTCGCGTATAGATTCCATTCACGCTCCTGCAGGAGCCTTTTACGCAGGCAGAACATTCTTCTTGTTGTTCGTCTAAGCTTCCAATAACACCCCTGGAGTTCACAACCTGAAAGAATAATAACGTTTGTTTAGGAGTAGAATAATTTACATTTTTTTTTTTATAAAACAAACAGTAATGAGATAAAATAAACAAAACACACTGTTCTAAATACATAACACTAATTTGAAATGTGATTTAGTGTAACTCATTAGAGGGCAACCATAAAGATTAAGCATAGGGTACATACAGGCACAGTTTAAAGAATATATATATACAGGGTGGCTCACGCTCAACGGGACGGAGCTTTATGGGAAAACGACCAAAGATATAAAAAATTCGTTTGGGAGGAATACGTAGGTTACAGACGGCTACAATTTAAAATTTGTTAGATGTATACAGGATGTCCCACATAAGAGAAAATATACAAAGTTATATTATGTTTAATGGAACACCCTGTTTTTTTTATTTTAGAATTAAAAACTACATCAAAAATAATGTCAGTTAACTAAAGGTTCCCTATTACTATTATTATTAGTTTTCGATTTATTTGAATTTTTAAGGAAAAAAGTCTCCCAGAAATTAATTGTTTACTCTTGTTTAAATAATTTTTAATGAACTAATTTTTTTTTCTTATGTGGGACATCCTGTATACATCTAACAAATTTTAAATTGTAGCCGTCTGTAACCTACGTATTCCTCCCAAACGAATTTTTTATATCTTTGGTCGTTTTCCCATAACGCTCCGTCCCGTTGAGCGTGAGCCACCCTGTATAACAGTTGCCGCACTTGCCTAAAAGTTCGAAACAACATACCCTCTGTCCCGTCTGGCCGCGCACACTGAAGGCATACTGGTATCAACCCTCTGCCGTATCGGGTGGACCAGTTATTTGCGTGCATCGTTTGAGATCGCAATGTCTCAGATAATTTTCGTTTTTCTTTGTTATTTATTTTGTATTAAAATGGGCGGTAAAAATATTTATTGTGTGGATGGTTGCGAAAATCGGTTACGAAGCGTATTGTCATTTTTTAGATGTCCCAAAGATCAACATGTATATGACCACTTTACTACTTTTTTGAGATAAAAAATATTTTATTAATTAAATCTACAAGTGGTAAATTAATTACATATTTAAATAATAAGCCATTTGTTTACAAAACATTTACCTTTTCCCAAACAATATAAAAATGTTTTGTAGGTGCCAAATTTGGAAAAATACTCTTGGCGTTACAGGATCCCATAAATATACTCATTTTATGCCAGAACAATGTTATAGCTTCTATTAGAATTTGCGCTTTGCATTTCGATGAAGATAGTTTTGTAAACTTCTCTAGAAGTTGTACCCATAATTATGCTGTTCCATCTTTGAGGTTAAAAATCGATTCAATTGGAAAAGGTAGATTTAAAAATGCATTTTAATAAATATTACGAAATTAATATTTCTCACACATTTATAGATAATATTCACACAAGTACATCAGTACCGGTATCAAACCCTACCTATGTTATGTTATGTTGGGAATGGGGTGTTAATACACTGCGACCTAAAAGATATATTGTGCTAATGCACCAAGAAAATGTCTCAATGCCTATAGCGATCCTTTCAATCCTATTTCTTCAAGGAAATGTAGGATTTGGAGTGGCTTCAAGTTAGGTAAATCTACCTCTTCTATTGGATATCCTCCTAGATATAGTGCCCTTGGATTCTGGAGTGCTACACATTCAGTTAGAATGTGAATAGAGGTTTCGTCCTCCTTCTCGCAGAATTTACACTCATTATTCTCTACTACCTACTACCTATAATATTACCGATCAGTTTGAAGTGGAAAAAAAACGCAAGAACCAATGATGCATGTGTTCAAACTACTTACCTCGACTACGCTGATTACTCCGATCACAAAGGTAATTAAAACACTGCCTTTTATATATAACGACCGTGAAACTGAAATAGACGAGTACCACATTCCTATGATTGAACGACATATTTTTTTGAAGCAAGTTGCGATTTTTTAATGTTGTTTTAAATGCCACTCAAGTTTAAATACTTTGAAAAAATAAACGGTCTTTTAAACACACATTGTCGAATATTGTTAGGTTCCTATTAAAAATTATTGAACAAAATATATTGGTTTTGAGGAAAGATATTGATATCTTTAATTTCTGAAACCTTCTGGTTTTTTACAATTAGTACTATTTAATTTAAATTTTTTAGAAGCCGGTACCCAAACGACACTAATGCTTTCCGAAAATTTACCAAGAAAAAGAACATTAAAGGAATCTGTCAAAACACTGGAAAGGGCCATCAGTACCACATATGTAGAAGAAAGCTAGAAACAGAGGTGACCTTGGAAGATGTTGTAAAGTTTTTAGAAACCAGATTTTTTAAAAATTAATTATTTTTGCGCCAAAATGGTCCAGGTATACTATACGAGCAGTTTGCTTTAAGTGTTTATTTTCTATTATATTTCTATATATCTCTTTTTTATGGCCGATATCAAAAAATTTGTAAGATGAATATCTGGTTATTTTATCTACTTTGATATATGTGTTTAAGCTCAATTTATAGGGCGTGGGTTAGGTTTTTAAATAACTCGAATAACTTTAAAAAAGAAGTTGGGCACCTCTATATTTAAAGCTTATACACTTAACTTTACATTAGTGATAAAAATATAGAAAATCACTAACCACTAACAAATTATACTTTAAAAAATGCTTTAGATAAGGTAGGTGTAAAATTCTAATTCACATAAGTTTGCACATAATTCAAATTTAAAACAATTTATTGATTAGATCAATTGCACTTATCTGTGGTAAATAAGGTATTATACGGTATGGTAAGTTTAAGGTAAAAATCAGGTATTTCATTCTTCGCTCCAAACTGCATAGGTACATCAATCCATAAACATTATATACCGGTCAGGCAACTTCCACCAACTGATTCGGGATTCTATTTCATAACTCTTATTCGAGACTACTATTCACGATTGAAACGTGAATGATCTTCAAGATAAATGATTCTTATTTATATTCGAACTTGAACGATCTTCAAGATAAATGATTCTTATTTGTGTTCGAAAACGAACCGTCTAGAGATTGCCATGGGCTTATAAAATCAGACAATCATTAACATAAATAAATATGAATTATTATTTCGGATGACCAAAATAAAATCAAAATAGAAGTGACCTATTCGTCGATGTCTGTGAAATAAAAATGTCACTTCCCTGGCACAAAGCATAGACGACAAATGACATTTGTAAGAGATGATTGTGTCACAAAATAACGAAATAACGATTTCAACCGTTACAAATTTGACTATGAAAAATTGTATTATATAAATTTTGTGAGTTTAAGTTTATCTGCATAAATAATGTAATTCCTAGTCTGACTATAATATATTTATATTTAAACATAGGTGCCTTGATGTATGCTGCAGGACTCTCTACAAACTGCTTATATTGTCGTGCGAGCCATTTTCAACCAGTTCCGCCAATTGTTTACCTTATCGTCGTTTAAGTTGCTGCTTGTATGTGTTTCGCTGCCGCTGGCCTCGAGACTTAAGAAGTTACTGGAAGGTTCTTTTGCACGAGTGGGGGAAAGAATTCGAGAACGCTATACTAACTAGCATCGATATTCTTTGAGATAGGACTGGATTTTTCTAGGTCGTTATATCTTTGTATGTAACTGGTTTCTTTTGCCGTTACTTAGTCAGTTGTCGAGTAAAGATAAATTGTTAAAGTAAATATAAATCAGTGTAGTTTTGAGTACAAATAAATTAGTTGTAAGTTGGTGTATTTATTGAATATAAATCAGAATAATTAAACCTATTTAAAAGAAATAAACGTAACAATAACCATTACAGGTTAATGCGATTAAATATAAAAAGTGTTAAAATATAATGGGGACCGAAGTATATAAATTATATATTCAAATTATCAGTATCTACTGATGATACTAATGCATTTTTGTTCTATTTGTTTCTTTAGATTTAACCAGTGTCGATGCAATTTACAGATTATATAAAAAATCTAGCTAATGCCAGTTGAAAGACTTTAAAATCGAACTCACACTCTTAAACAGTTAATATAAATGTCATCACTATCTACCTGCTTGTTATCTGCTCATTTAATCTGTCGGATACTTCTACATTTTTTTTTATCACCGTTTATGGTGTGTCGGAACTCAACTTGTCGTTTATCTTTATTTTATCTCCTTTTTGTAGTTTCGATTAAAGGTAATCAGGTTGTGGTTATGTGTGTATTCGGCGCTATCTCAGAGATTTACATTAAGATGGGATGAGGTTTGAAAATTTAAGTACAAGAGAAAATTTGAATTTACCTGGTGCTTTATATACATTATTTTAAAGCGTAAAGGAAAGAAAGATACAATAAAGAAACTAGAAACAGTCTTAGAGTGTAGAATGAAACATAGTGTGTTATGGTAGGACAGTAGTTGAGCTGAGATAACATAATAGTACATAAATAAAATAATAAAAAACAACAAAGTTTGATGATAAGGACATAATGCTTTATGTGACTTTATCATAAAAATTTAAATTTACTTTCAATAGTTATTCATTTTGCCATATTGACTAAAATTAAATATTTCGCCAAATAACTTTAAAGAGAAGTAATAAAATTTTGCCAAACATAAATGTAGTAGCAAAATAATAAATCTCAATTGCAAAATCCTCAGAAACAATTGAATATTGACAGCTAAGTGTGTGGCAAATTTCATCGTTTCGATTTTAGTTCCTATTCAATGATTTGCTTCAAGTAATTGAACCAATTGAATTAGGTTATTTAAAAGACTTGTATTCATATCAAACTTTATTAATATTCTTGACGTAGTGTCGCATGCATTAGAGATGTCTATAAAGTCAATTAAAAATGGTGTGTTTATAAATATTATTGAGTATGAATAAGACGTTTTGTTGAAGCATACATTGATAGATCTACCAAATATTATTATATATACGCGCAGTTAGGTACAATATGGCAAATTCGAGCATAAAAGACGTAGGGTCGGTTTTTTAATGTGATGTTAACTTGGAGGTTAACTAACTTCTTGAAGGTTAATCTCTAGTTAAAATAAGAAGCGTTTCTCAATG